CTTGGCTTTGATCAGGGCACCTGATGCTTCAGTGTGGGTTCAGGCATGCAGGGGAACTGGTGGACATTCTTCCTTGCACTGGAAAGAATTTATGCTTCTATTGTTAATATTTATAGTCCTAAAGTGTGATTTTTTAAAATGTGTAAATAGAAAGCAATAGCTTTTACTGAGCCCCTGGTTTGGGGATAGGAGAGGACAAAGCTGTTTCTGTGTCACCTCCACAGAGGGATTGTGTGGATGTAGCCTTTCTTCCCTCGCATGTGACGTCTATCAAGGATTGCTGATAGCCAGTCTTGGCATTCTTCCCTGTCTCTCCTTGTCCCTTTCTCCTTCCCCTGTTGCTCTGTCCTTTTCCCTGCTTACTTTCTTTCATCTTATGGGGGTTAGTCTGGACTCAGCATCCTTCTGCCTTATAGGTGTGCTCCACTGCACCCACTGGTTTTTTTGTACAGCTGTTTTTTGTTTATTTGTTTTTTGATTTTCTTTCTTTTTTTTTTTGGTGCTGGGATTTAAGCTTACAGCTTTGTACTTGCTACTGTTCTTGAACCAAGGTACACCCTACCAATCCAGGAGGTACAGGGTTTTAAAATGAATCTTTATTTCAGATCTGAACATTGGCCAAAGTATTTTTCAAATGGATATTGTCTGTTCAGCATTTCATTATTGCTGCTAACTTTTTGTTTTGTTTTGTTTTTCGAGACAGGGTTTCTCTGTGTAGCTTTGGAGGCTATCCTGGAACTCGCTCTTGAGACCAGGCTGGTCTCGAACTCACAGAGATCCACCTGCCTCTGCCTCCCGAGTGCTGGGATTAAAGGCGTGCGCCACCAACCCCCGGCTATTGCTGCTCACTTTAAGAAGCACACACGGTGGTTGTGAGTCAACTGTAAGGACCTGGTATCTTTCCCTCCTCCCCTTCCCCTACTGGCTACAGCTCTTACACCCCTATTCCTTTTTATTACTTCATTTTTTCTCGCAATATATTTTGATCATATTTCCATTTCCGTAACTCCCCCCCCCCATTCTCCCAACTCCCTACTCACGCAAATTCATGTTCTTTCTCACTCACAACAAGAACAAAAGAAAAATCAAAACAAATCCACAAAAAGCCAGTAAGATAAAAACTAATGAAACACTGCCCCCAGATGGAACATGGAGTCTGTTTTGTGTTAGCCTACTATTCCTGAATAATGGGGCCTGCCCTGGAGTGTGGTTGATATGCCCAGTGACACTCCCTTGGAGAAAACTGACTTTTCCTTTCTCAGCAGGGATCAATTGTAAATAGCTTCTTGGTTGGGATGGGACTTTGTGTCCACCTCTCCTTCCCAGTGCAAGGATTTGTCTGGTATGAACTTGTGGAGGACTTGTGCGTGCTGTCATGGTCTCTGTGCGTAAATTTGAGTATCAATTAATTGTGTATACAAGATACCGTTTTCTTGGAGTCATCTGCCACCTCCAGCTCTTACACTCTTTCTGCCTCCTCTTCTGCAGAGATCTCTGAGCCTGTAGGGGAGTGGTTTGATAGAAATGGCCAATTTAGTGTTCAGGGCGCCAAAGTCTCTTGCTCTCTTCACATTGTCTACTTGTGGATCTCAGTGCTAATTCCCATCTGATGCTGAAGAAACCCTCGCAGAGGGTTACATACCCCCAATTCTGTTTCATTCCTTCCCACTCTGGTCTGGCTTCTTCCCCACTGAAACTGCCCTTAGCAAGGCAGCCCATCCTTCTTTGTCGCTAAGCCCAGAGATTTCCACATCATTGTAGCATTTGATAGTTTTCATCGTTTCCTCAAAAAATGGAAATATCCACTTCTTCCTGAATTCTTAGCCACCACTTATTTCTTCCTACTCCTTTGGCTTTCCTCTTTAGATTCATTTTCAGTTCCTCACTTCCTATTGGCCCCTCAAAGTTAGTTGTTAATGGATCCAACCCAGGACCCATATCTGTCGCCTTCTTCCCATACTTTTGCTCTTAGATGATCATCTCATGCATGTGCCTAACCTTTACTAACTGTGATCATTAAGATGAAGCTGCCCACTTGTGTTCTATACTCCACATACTCAAGAGTACATTTTCCAAGGCACATGAAACTCAGCATATCTGAAACTAAACTTAGCAGGCTGGAGAGATGGCCCAGCAGTTAATAGCCCTTGCTGCTCTTCCAGAGGTCCTTAGTTCCCAACACCCATATTCGGCATCTCACAACTGCTGATTCTGCAGCTCTAGGCCACTTGATGTCTTCCTCTGTCCCCCATGGACACCTGTGCATTTGTGACAGACAGATGCACATATATAAATAAAAGTATTTTAAAAACTAACTTAGACATTGACCCCTTTAAATACATTCTCTCTGTGTGTTCCCACTTCATTAAATGGCCTTGTTTTCCATCTGGATGCCCAGGCCAATATAATCATCTCATTGTCAAGTCCATTAGGGCTCCTCTAGTCTTTCATCATCCTCCCTAGCCTATTCTACTTAGCCACCAAAGCTTTCTAAAACATACTGTCTTCCAACCACCCCCACGTCTGGCATTACTCTCCTAGATGAGGTTCAAAGCTCTTACTGCCTAATGATTGCAGTGTTCACCTAGACATCCATTTAGACCCTCTCAAGTCTAGACCACGCTTTTAAAATAGATCGCTAATGTCAAGCTCACACTTAGGACTCTTGAGTGGTTTCCTTCAGGGCCATGAAGTCTAAACCCCCTTCTACAACAAACCTCTTGTTGTTTATGATTCAGTTCCTGCAGATGTTTCAGACTTCACCTCTTGTCAGCTTATAATGTAACCACACTGAAACACAGTGTGGTTCCCTTATCAGCCATGCTCTGTGTTATTCCTTGAGTGGACATATATTCTACTCTACCACTACCTGTTGATGATATTTAGTTACTTAGGTGGTAAACCTTCTAATGTCCCACTCCCTTAGACTTGGCTAAATATCTCTTTTCTGTATTTAGAACATCTTGTATATATGTATATGTTGCATTACAATTGTTAAAATTGTCTTTTTTTGCTAACTGGAGTGGGAACTCTCTGAAATGGATAATATTTTCATCTGTGAACCCAGGGGATATATCTAGCATAAGTTGGCAATTTATATATTAAATGAATGGGTGACCAGTCAGAATAAAAGGCAATTGGAAGGTAAAGTGTAGTCAGCACTGTGACTTGACCTTAATTAAAGTTCCAGAAGTATGGATTCAGTGTGTAGTTGAGGTATATACATATAAAGGAATATTAATTTGCTATACAAATGAAGTTTTGATATATTCTACAACAAAGGTAAATGTTCAAATATTATACTAAGTAAAAGAACCAGACATAAGAGGCCATACATTGTAGGATTCCATCAATACGAAATGTCCACGATAGGCAAATCTATAGAGATGAAAAAGTAGACTTTTGGCTTCCAAGGGATGGAGCTTACAGGACTAGAGAGATAGCTTAGTTATAAACTACTTCCTGTGAAAGCATGAGAACTTGAGTTTGGGTTCCCAGCACCCAAGTAAAAGAAGGCATGGTGGTATGTGTCTTCAAGCACAGCTCTGAGGGAGGGCAGAGATAGCTAGGTCCCTGGAACTCACTGGCCACCTAGTCTAGTGAAAATCAGTGAGGTCTACGCTCAGGCAAAGATCCTGTCTCAAACAATAAGGTGAAGCTTGACTGAAGAAGACACCCAATGTTAACCTTTAGCCTCTACCAAACAGATGTCCACATATGTGCATGCATGTATGTGTGCATATATCTATACACACTCAAATTTTTTTAAAGTTAAAAAGGATAAAAAAAAAGCCTACCTTTAATCCCAGCACTCGGGAGGCAGAGGCAGGTGGATCTCTGTGAGTTCAACGCCAGCCTGATGTACAGAGCAAGTTCCAGAACATACTCCAAAGCCACACAGAGAAACCCTGTCTCAAAAAAAAAAAATACAAAAAAAAAAAAAAAAAAAAAAGAAGGAACAAAAAGCTAGACTTTGGGGATAGGGCAGTACGAAGTAGTGTAACATTTTTGGAGCATTGAAAATGCTCTAGAATTAGTGGAGAGTGAATTATTCTTTGTGAATACACTAAAGAACACACTGAATCATCTAATTCAAAAGAATAAGCTTTATAGCATGAGAATTGTCTCAGTAAAACTGCCATTAAGCATCACAGTTTATCAGTACAGTTTTATAGAACACAGAGAATTGTGTATATCTGAATATGTGTAGGAGTTAGACCTGTTTGCTGATCACATAGGCCCAGAATCAGGGCCTTTTCTCATGTATTGATTTTGAGGTGGATATTTTAAATTTTAATCCTGACCTTTCAGTAGTAGAAGAATTCAATTAATCTATAAATAGCATATTTACTTTGCCATTTATTAAATATATATTATTTGGAACCCTATGTGCTTTGGGAATAAACACAGGGAGCATATATGTTTATCTTGTTAACTGATGAATGGGGGATTTAGAAAAACGCATTTTAGTGGTCTTGGGCTTAAACCCAAGGAGGAGCACTAAAGAGACCAATGGCTATTTTCTTTCTTATTTGTAAATAGGGTCTCGTGAAACTCAGGCTATCCAGGTACTTACTATGTAGCCCAGGTAGGTTTGGGTTATAGGTTTGCACCAAATTTTCTAGGCTCAAAAAGAATACGTTTCCAGTATGAGTGCATTGTCATCCTGATAATCTGTGTACAGGTAATTTGAAGATCTTTTCTCATTTAGTCACTTTCCCCATTGGTTATGTGTGTAATGACTTAGAAATGTGGTGGTCTGTGCTGTTACTCTGGGGCACATTTTCCTTCCTGTCCCAGTGGATTATGTGAAAATTGGACTTTTAGACATGTGAATTCAGTAATACTTTAAACTGTAATAGCATTTGGTCTAAAAATTGGTTCTGATCCACCAGGGACTCTCATCAGAAAATTTCTGTTCTTAATCTAGAGATAGGTATTGGGTACAAATAAGCAGTTTCTGTCTTCAAGAAGAGCTGATAGGGTTCTTTTATTTGCAGGTCTTTTGGTGGGCCTCGTGCTTCGCTATGGCATTCATGTTCCAAGCGATGTGAACAATGTGACTCTGAGCTGTGAAGTGCAGTCAAGTCCAACTACCTTGTTGGTCAACGTCAGTGGAAAATTTTATGAATATATGCTGAAAGGAGAGATTAGCTCCCATGAACTCAACAATGTTCAAGATAATGAGATGCTTAGGAAGGTAAGTTTTTACTTGAAGGGGATATTTGGATTTTTGAAAAGGTGTCTAATGAGCAGCTAGATGAATCTTAAGAAATGACCTCTCTCTGTGTGTCTCTGTGTTTCTGTGTCCCTGTTTCTCTCTCTCTCTTCCCCCCCTCTCTCTCTCCCCCTCCCTCCCTCCCCCCTCTCTCTCTTTGAGGCAGTTTCTTGCTTTGTGGGCTGTCCTGGCACTTGCTGTTTAGACCAGGCCCATTTAGAATGTGTAGCAGTCCGTCCTACCTACTTTTCTACAAGTCTCTGCCTCCTTGGAGTTACTTGCATGCAGTACCTACTTTTTAGCTTGTGCCACTATGCCTAGCTACAATTTTAAATATTTAGAATAATAATTCTAAAATGTAATAAAACCTGTTAATAAATATAATGCTGTTTGGAGATGGATCTGTCTGTTTTTTCTTCTGCTACTGAATTCTTTTTTTGCATATATAATTTATTTTCATTTTATGTTCATTTATGTTTTGCCTGCATGTATGTCTGTGTGAGGGTGTCAGAAACCATGGAACTGGAATTACAGACAAGTGTGAGCTGCCACGTGGGTGCTGGGAATTGAACCCGGGATCTGTCTATGTTTTCTTTTTGCGATTAAGACCAAAATCTATAACTAACTCTCTTTACTTTTACTCTGTGTGTAATGTTTTAATGACTGACAGTGGTCAGGACTTGAGCTCAGAATGCATAAACATTCCTTCAACTTACAGATGGTCCTGTTGCTTAAGGGTACATTAATACATTGGGTTCATTTGGTTCTACCCGTGATCCCATCAATATTTCATTGAATTTTTTCTTGCCTTACTTGTATTCTAGACAAGCATAATTTAACCTTTCTTTGATTCCTAATCTAGCACAACTTCTGGGGCCCTAGTAAGAGCGTCAGGTATTGTACCATGCTTTGCATGGGAGGTTGGATTTCAGTCTCACTAGCTCTCAAGACTCCTGGTAATGCTTGCCTGCGTTCTGCTCACTTTCTCCCCTAAAGCTGCTCAGTACCACTTCACAGATTGCTCTGTTTTCACCCACTCTTTGTCTCCTGTCAGCAGCACTTGATTTGTATAGCCTCTTGATTGTATTCCTATCTTAGTGAGAGTTTTATTGGTGTGAAGAGATACCATGATCAGGGTGACTCTTTTTTTATTTGTTTGTTTTTCAAGACAGGGTTTCTCTGTATTGCTTTGGAGCCTTTCCTGGAACTTGCTCTGTAAACCAGGCTGGCTTTGAACTCACAGAGATCCATCCGCCTGCCTTTGCCTCCTGAGTGCTGGGATTAAAGACGTGCACCACCAATACCCAGCTCAGGGCAACTCTTATAAAGAAAAACATTTTCTTAAGGCTGGCTTACAGTTCAGAAGTTTAGTCCATTATCAGCATGGCAGGAAGCATAGCATTGTGTAAGTAGACATGGCTCTGGAAAAGTAACTGGGAGTTCTACATCAGTATGGGTAGGCAGCAGGAAGGGAGAGTGACATTGGGCCTGGTTTGAGGATTTGAGACCTCAAAGCCCACCTTTAGTAATATACATCCTCTAATAAAGCCACACCTACTCCAACAAGGCTACACCTCCTAATAGTGTAAGCCTATAGAGGGGCCATTTTCTTTCAAATCACAGTTCCTTTCTGTAATGGTTTTAAAATCCCTACAAACTTACTTTACTTTGCAACCAAAATACTTAGCAGCCATGGAAAAGTGCAGTCCTTAAAACTTCTAGTAAAGTAAGTTTTTTTTTTTTTTTTTTTTTTTTTAGCATGGTTAAGTGTATTGCTACATTACATTCATATCAAATTCTGCTGCAACCTTCAGAACACAAAGGGGGCTCTGCATTGTTAAAACAAGTAGGTTTTAGGGGCTGGAGAGATGGCTTAGAGGTTAAGAGCACTGACTGCTCTCCCAGAGGTCCTGAGTTCAATTCCCAGCATCCACATGATGGCTTACAACCATGGCACCATGAGATCTGGTGCCCTCTTCTAGCATGAAGGCATACATGCAGGCAGAACACTGCATACATAGTAAATAAAATAACTTAAAACGGAACAAGTAGGTTTTAAAATGACTGGGCTGTGAGGACTGGAAATTTTGAGTTGTATAAAAAGTTTTAACTAACTACAGTATTATCTTGTGTAGCTTTAGAGAGATTACCTGTGTACCAACTCGGTTTCCTTTTATCAACAATAAGTACAGCCCTGAATTTTGTTTCTGAATTTGGGTCTCTTATATAAAGCAAAATTATGTTTATCCATTTTCCACGTTTTAAGATTTTAAAAATTTATTATTTTTTTTGAGACAGAATCATGCTATGTAGCCTTGGCTGGTCTATTACTAAGTAGTTCAGGCTGACTTTGAGCTCACAGCAATTCTCCTGCTTCAGACCCTTCCCAAAATTCAGGGATTACAAGTGTGTATTATTTGTGTTTTAAGAATTTTTTTTTTTTCAAGACGGATTTTCTCTGTGTAGCTGTGGAGCCTGTCCTGGAACTTGCTCAGTCGACCAGGCTAGCCTCGAACTCACAGAGATCTGTCTGCCTCTGCCTCCTGAGCTCTGGGGTTAAAGGTATATGCCACCATTGCCTGGCGTGCTAAGAATTTTATGTAGTATTTCATATAGTTTCCATAGAAATGTTGTAATTTAGCCGGGCGTTGGTGGTGCATGCCTTTAATCCCAGCACTCGGAGGCAGAGGCAGGCAGATCTCTGTGAGTTTGAGGCCAGACTGGTCTTCAGAGCGAGTGTCAGGATAGGCTCCAAAGCTACACAGAGAAACCCTGTCTCGAAAAACCAAAAAAAGAAGAAATGTTGTAATTTATTATTCTAGCATTGTCACCCTAAATTTTGGTTGAGATGTAGGGCAACAACTATCTGGTAACACAAAATTTATTGTGTGCCTAAAACAGGGAAGTATGTTTTAGGCTCTCATTTGTCTCCCTCTTTTGTTGCCCTACACACACACACACACAGTGAAGAGAAAGATTACTGAATGAGAAAAGAATCTTAGCCTAGTGCATATTAATTAGGTTGTTAAAATCTAGAATATGTAAAGAACCATAGACCATAGAAACCCTCTAAAATCTATCCAATTAATAAATATGCTAATAAATAGTTATCAAAAGAAGAAATAAACATGGTCAATAAATAAAAAATGTTCATCAGCAGGGAAATGCAAATTTAAACTCTGACGTGAAGTATTTTGAAGCTGACACAGTAACACTCTTGCTGTTAACCAGTTTAACCTTAATCTTTTTCTTTTGATAGTTTGATAATGTAGTGAGATATTGTGAAGGAAATAATCTCAAAGAATCTGTGTTTTAACAGGTTACTTTTGATCCAGAAGTCTTTTTCAACATACTGCTTCCTCCTATCATATTTTACGCAGGTTACAGTCTGAAAAGGGTAAGTGCTTTTGCATTTCCTTTGCTTTGACCAGCCTTAAGTTCCCCATGCTTTGAAGGGTGTTAAATTGCCCATGTGCTTCTTAGTGCTTAGCACTTCAGAAACAGGCCATGTTTTCCAAGTCCTCCTTCCTTTTCTCCTTGTCTTTTTGAAATGGTGAAATTCATGCTGGTACGAGAATGCTTTCTCTTGACTGGCTTCTATAGAATGATGCTTTTACTGTTAGCAGAGCAAAGTGCAATAGAAAAATGTCCTCTGTCAGTACCAGTAGATATTCTAACAGAGCATAACTTCTTTTTTTGCCAGAGACATTTCTTCCGGAACCTTGGGTCTATCTTAGCATATGCCTTTCTTGGAACAGCGATTTCTTGTTTCGTTATTGGGTAAGAATGGAAGCTTGAGATGCCTCTTAGCCTTCAGATTATAATTCTAGAAGAACACCCGTTGACTTGCATTTGATTTATGTGTTACTGTAATCTCATATGTGTTTTGAAAACTTTTTCGGTACATATTAGTAATAAGTTGTTTGACTTTTCCTTAAACCCCAAGTATTAGCCATATTTAAATACCTGTTAATTCAATCCAGGTTACTCACAGAGCACTATAGTAGATTCCTTTTCTTATTTTTACTTTATCCTAACTTTTAAAATAATTGGTGTTTTTCTAATATAGGAATGTGTTTATTGTACAGGTCCATAATGTATGGCTGTGTAACCCTGATGAAAGTGACTGGACAGCTCGCTGGAGATTTTTTCTTTACGGATTGCTTGCTGTTTGGTGCCATCGTATCAGCCACGGACCCAGGTATGCTCTAGGAAAGGAGCTGAAGTGCTGCAGTTGCAGTTTCCAGTCAGAGCACATGTGGATGCTCCTTTGAGGGTTACAATCAGGATTGGGTTCTTCACTAGCACTCTGCTTCCCAACTGTGCTCGAGTAAACAATTCTTAATTCCTTTTGGTTTAAGCACAGATCTGCTTGTTTTACTGTTTTTTGCATTTGCCTATAAATGTTTCATACATTGATGCTGTTCTGATTAGAGCTATTAAATATTTTCTTCAGAAATTTAAATTGGTCTTTATACCCTAGTGATTGAATATAGGAAAAGAAAAACTAGGTTATAATTTTTTTAAAATTGATTGAATACTTCCTTTTGCATTTCTACACAACCATTTCTCTAAAAACCTCCTGTTTATATTCAGCTATTTACGTTATACAATAGAAAAGAATTTTTTTTGAGACAGGATCTCATGTAGCCCAGGCTGACAAGCTGGCCTCAAACTCACTAGGTAGCTAAGGATAACCTTGAGCTTCTGATCTTGAACTTGTCCTAATTTCCTGAGTGGTGGGATGATTGGAGTATGCCATCATGCCTGCTTTATGCAGCACTGGGGATCGTGCACAGGGCTATGTGCATCCTTGGCATGCACTCTAATTTTTTGTTCTTTTGAGACATGATCTCTCAGTAGCCTAGGCTAGCCTCAAATTCATGACAGTCTTCTACCTTAGCCTTGCACATGCTGTGATTGCAGGCATAAGCTACCATGCCTAACTAAGTAGCTTTAAAATGGTTGCTATACGGCAGGGATGCTGATAGGGGAGTGCTCAGTATATTAAAGAGTGCTTGTTATAAAATTGGCCTATGGCTATGAAATTATTCCATTATTGACAAAGCTTGCTTCTTTGTGATTTCAGTGTCAGATCTCTAAGAATTTGTGTTAGTTAATGAATTTAATTGCTAATGAAGTGAAAAACTTTAAATGTAGTTTGGCAAACTAACAGCTATTTTCAAATGAAGAATTTGTAGAAAATTTAGAAGTAAATGGTCAGGGTAACCATCCAGAATATATAAAGAGTTCAGTAAGCTCAACACTAAAAGAATAAGTAACCCAAGCATTATGCTGTTTGATGAACTGATAAGAAACTCCTCCAAAAATGTACAAATGCCCAATAAGCACTTTTTAAAAAAATGTTCAAAACTTCTAGTTGTTAGAAAAACGAAAATCAAAACCCCAGCCAAGATGTCTATCATCAAGGAAACAAATAAAAACCTATGTTGGTTAAGCTGTGGGATGGGTAGAGGAACTCTTGCTGGATGTGCTGGCTTATGCCTGGAATTCTAGCATTGGAGAAGCTGAAGCAGGTGGATTGCTGTGAGTGTGAGGATAGTTTGGGCTGCAGAGTAAGAGCCTCGAGAAAAGAGAAGCTTATATGCTATTGGTAGGGGATGTAAAGTAGTTCTCAACCACTGTGGAAATCAGTATGGGAATTACTAAACAAATAAACAACTAGTATATGATCCAAATATATTGCCCTTATGTATAAGGAATATAAATCAGCATATTGCAAATATACCTGCACACCCATGTTTATAGTAACACTATTCATAGTAGCATGCTATAGAATCAGCCTGGGTGCCCATCTACAAATAGATGACAAAGAAATATATACATATGGATGCATACATAAACACGGGTGGAGTTGGTATTTTTTTTTTGTTGTAAAGAATACAGTTGTGAGCCGGGCGTTGGTGTCGCACGCCTTTAATCCCAGCACTCAGGAGGCAGAGGCAGGCGGATCTCTGTGAGTTTGAGGCCAGCCTTGTCTACAGAGCGAGTGCCAGGATAAGCTCCAAAGCTACACAGAGAAACCCTGTCTGGAAAAAACAAACAAACAAACAAACAAAGAATATAGTTAGGCAATTATGTCATTTCAATGTGTGGAACTGGAAATCATGTTAAGTGAAATAAACCAAACTAAAAAAGACAAATTTCACATATTTTTCTCTCATGCAAAATAAGATTTAGAAAAGAAAAACCATGCGGGGAGGTGTGGGGGGCTAGAAATAGGGAAGGGAGGGGAACCTTTGGTTAAAATGTAAAAACAAAGAAAATGCATGGAAATAGAAGGGAAACTATTTGGAAAGAGAGAGGGAACCAGCTGATTAGAGGCACAAGTAATGGTAGTGGGATGAATATGATCAATGTAATATATGTGTATGTATGTATGTATGTATGTATGTATGTATGTATGCATGCATGCATGCATGCATGCTTGCATATATGTATGTATGTATGTATGTATGTATGTATGTATGTATGTATGTATGAAAAAACCATAGTGAAAGCCATTAGTTTATACAATTAATATATAATAATAAAAGTAATTGGGAAGCATAGCAACAGACTAAAGGGTTTTGCTCTGATTTGTTTGGTGTTGGGAGCTTTGCTCATGGTAGTCAAGTGCTTTGTCACTAACCTGTGTCTCTATCCTCTAGACTGAAGGTTTAGAACCAGGGGTCAAAGTTTTCTTTTACTACTAGTTAGGATTTGATAGCGGTTTGTTTTGTTTCAACTTTTGCCCTTGTGAGTTAATCATCTTCTTTAATTATCAAAGAGCACAACTGAAGCAAGTGTCCTAAGGTTATCTTTGGATTCCTTCCTTAACTCTGATGACACAGAAAGGAGAAAAATGTGTTCCATATGCTGTGAGAGATAATTCTAAACGATTACTCAGGGCTCACTAGGCACAATGGCACATGCTTGTAATCTCAGAAAGTGGAGGCAGGGATTTAAAGAAATTGTGTCCAGCCTGGGCTATCTTGTGAGACTTTGTTTCAAAATGAATAATTTAAAAACCAAATGAACAAACAAAAAGAGTTCCCAGAGGGACATTTCAGACAGATATTTGTATAGTTTAATATTTTTATTTTTGTAGTGCTGTGGATAGAAGAATGTACGGACTCATGTACACTAGGCAAGCATTCCATGACTGAGCCATTGCCTAATCCCCCATGTTTTTGAGTTTTGATACAGGACCTTGCTAAGTCCCTAAGGTTGGCCTTTAACTTACTCTATAGCCCAGGCATTTCTTGAACTTGGTATCTCCCTGCCTCAGCCTCTGGAGTATTTGGCACTACATGTTTGTGCCACACAGGTTTGCCTTAGTTTATCATTTTGTTTTGTTTTCTTTGATATGTAGTTCAAGGTGGGCCGATCATCATAGCCCAAGTTGGCCTCCAGCTAATGGTATTCCTTCTGCCTCAGCCTTCCAAGTACTGAGTTTATAGGGGTGAGCCACCACACCTAATTATAGCTTACATTTAAAAAAACTGATACCATATTGATTGTTTCTTTATAGATGCACTGAGCCTGTCCCTTATGTTTTTCAAGAAGCCAGTGGTCTCAGGTGTCCTTATCTTTCAATAGAAGTAGGCACCTTGACCTTTCTAAGGATCGAACTGGCAACATTACTTCAACCTTCTGGTTTTGTTTTAGTTGGAGTATTGCTTGACTACCTTTTGTTTATATAAAGTTTGGCAGATTTCTATTTTAGATTATGTAGGTACTTTCTCTAGTTCTATTATGTTGTGTTATCTTTCTAGAAGTTTGAGCTGTAGGTCCTCTATTCAAAATTTGACAGTATTTTCCACTCCCTTTTCTTTCTTCTGGTAACCTTTATAAAATTGTATTTGGGGGGATGGAGAGATGATTCATCAGTTAAGAGCATTAGCTGCTCTTGCAGAGGACCCAGGCTCAGTTCCCAGCACGAACATGCTGGCTCACAACTATCCCATTCCAGAGGATCCAATGCACTCTCTGGCTTCCATCTGTACCAGGAACTCACATGGTACACAGACATACATGCAAACAAGACACCCCTACACATATAATAAAACAATAAAATAAAACTCCCCCAAATAATTTTTCTTTAAAAGATTTAACCTTTTCTTCTTTATTTTACATATAAGTTTGTTTTGCATGCATGAATGTCGGTGTACCATGTGCATGCGTGGTGTTCAAGGAGGCCAGAAGAGGTTGTCAGGTTCCATGGAAATAGAGTTAGATACTGTTTTGATCCTCCACATAGTTGCTGGGAACTGAGTTCTGGTTTCCTGGAAGAAGAGCCAGTGCTCTCAACCACCAAGTCACTTCTCTGGCCCCCAGTTTTTCTTTGTTTTTCAGAATTTCATGCATGTATATATAGATATATGACATCTGCATTTTGGTATGTTTGCTCCCATGTTTTTCAATGGAAATTATATCTTTTAAAACACAAGCTTTTGTTTTTTATGTTTCCTATTTGAAAATTCTCTAGTTTCTGGCTATATTAATTTTTCACATCTGCTTCGATTTATTTAATGGATAAGCAATATGTGACCCAGCAGTGAAAATTCCAATCTAACTTATCAGTCTTATCTGATTTTCTAAAAATTCTAATATAATCGTTTCCCCAAAAGAAGGGAATGTTGTGTTTTCTATCCTTCTTTCCCTGCAATATCCTGATAGTTGGATTCTTCATCAGTTAAATATGGCAGCTGTTATTCTGTTCATAAATCTTATGCCAACCAGAAAGCTAAAGTTGTGTTTTCATTTCCTAAGGTCTTTACTAAACTTGGTATGGTTTCAATTTGCAAGTTAAACAGAAGTGAGTTGTAAAGCTCCAATGGAGAAGGGCTATTTACAGAAAGAGATGCTTTTCATATTTTCTTCTTAATAAAGATTAATTGCTACATAATCTATAAGAAATTCTGAATATACTCTTTATAGAAAATAAATTTACAACACTAGACTCTTCAAATTTGCATGAAGACTGTAGGGCAGCTCAGGACTTCAAGATTATTTTCAGCTGTTTTGAGAAAGGTAGCATTGCATGTACCCAATTAAGAACAAATATTGTCAGAAAATTACTAAAATTTTAATTCAATAAGAGAATATTAGAAAGGAAAACATCAGTTTCCAAATACTGCCTAACAGCTATTGAGAGACATCTGCTGTGTTTGTGATGTCTAAGTATTCTTCTGATTCTTTGTTTCTACTAGTGACTGTTCTTGCCATCTTCCATGAGCTTCAAGTTGATGTTGAACTCTATGCTCTTCTCTTCGGTGAAAGTGTCCTCAATGATGCTGTTGCCATAGTGCTGTCCTCGTGAGTGTTGATTTTCTTTTTATATCCTTAAAGGCCCTGGGAAGGGTACTAGCTGCTAAAAGTCAGTTATTGAATAAAGTACATTATGAACAGAAGTATTTGGAGCAGAGTTTTTCCTTCCTCTGGCAAGAACGTACATTTTATGGATAACTTGGAAAATTGCATGGAAAAAAATGAAAGAAAATTGCTGTATTTTCTTATCATATAAAAATAATCCCTATAAAAATTCCAGGACATTCCTTCTACTGTTTTTTTTTTTGTTTGCCATGCCATGTCATTTTACTGTCTATAGTTTTATTATCTGTTTTAACATTATAAAGATACATTTTTACTTAGGCTCAAGTTTTGAATTCAAAATTACATGAAAAGGTTTGTATAGAAATTCTGTTCTTTGCCAGGCAGTGGTGGCACACACCTTTAATCCCAGCACTTGGGAGGCAGGAGCAGGCAGATCTCTGTGAGTTCGAGGCTAGCCTGGTCTACTGAGCTAGTTCTAGAACAGTGAAGGCTACACCGAAAACCTCTGTCTTGGAAAACCAAAAAAGAAAAAAATAGAAAGAAAAGAAAAAAAAGAGAAATTGTGTTTTTATTCTCTAACTCTTGTTTTCCTAGCTCCTTGGGGCTGTTTAATAAAAAGTTTTTTTTATGTCTTACTATTTCTTCAAATCCAGGCACAGATATGGATATAGTTTTTATTTGACTTTTATTTCTGTTTTATTTTTAATTTTTGGCAGTTTGGGGGATTGAACCTATAGCCTTGTGCATGTTAGGCAAGTGCCCCAGCACTGAACTACATCCCCAGCCACTCAATTTTTATTTTGAAAGTAGCTTATTCTAGGTGTATTCTAGCAATATTTTCACATCAAAACAATTTCTTATTCTTTGCATCTTTGTGGTATTCCCTGTGAACTTCATTGTAATTCTTTTTTTTTCTCAATCTCTTACTACTGACTATTTGAAGAATTTTCAGTCCTTTGCTTTCCCCAAGGAAGTTACAGTGTTCAACCTAGAACTTTATTTTTCACAGGTATAGGTGTATGGTAGAATAAATTCTTGGAAGTGACGAGATTTGTGGTTGCTTTAAAGCACAAATGCAATTTTAGTTTTATTTGATATTGGTAGACTGCCAGTCAGAAGATTGTATCATTTTAAACTTCAACCACCATGATCTGAGAATATCTTTTTCCTTGGAGCTTCCCCAGTAAACTATTAGTCCAGCTTTTATATTTTTGCCAGCTTGGTAATTGAGAAAATATATTATATTTGAATTCATGTTTTTCTTATTTACCATCTGAGAAATATTTTCTTATTTGCCATCTGAGAAATATTTTATCCTAGATGTGTTAAATACACTTTTCTTGATGATAATTCTTGAATGAATAAATGCCTTTTGTATAATGATAGAAATTGCTATACGTGTTGTTACAAGGTATTTGCAGATGGAAGATGTTCTGCACCCCTGAGGAACTCACTTTTTTATACTTTATTCATTCTTTTAAATCTCATTTTACATTCCAACCACAGTTCTTCCTACCCCCTCCTCCCGTTCCCTCCTCTCCCCTGCCAGCCCTCCCCCAGTCCACTTCCCACAGATGAAGGCTACCATGAAAAGTCAACATAGTCTGGCACAACAGGGTGAGGCACGTCAAGCCCCTCTCCCATGCATTAAGGCTGAGCATGGCATCCCACCAAAGGGATTGGGCTAGCTCATGTACCAGGTTTGTGTTGTGGTCCTACTGCCAGGGGCCCCTCACATAGTCCAAGCTGCACAGCTGTCTCCCACATACAGAGGGCCTAGTTTGGTCTCCTGGAGTCTCCACAGCTGTGAGTCTAGAGTTCATGTGTTGAGGAACTCATTGTTAACTATGGACATATGTAATCATGTAGGCAAACACCTTCGCCTTATACTAAAACTTGCTGCGGGCAAGAAGAAAAAGCCCTTCACATTTTCTCTTTACTTTAATCTCTCTCTTCAACTTCTACTTTGTTAACTATAATAGAGTTGTAAGTCATGGACTCTGTTTTGCACAGCCTGACTATCACTGTTGACTTACTGCACAGTGGGAAATTACCCTTTCAGAGATATAGCACTAATCTGTTCAATGAGGTGGATAGCAATATTTTAAAGTTCAAATCCTTTTTTTGTGAATGCTCTATGTGTAAATGTTACTTCCTTCCCTGCTGTGTGTATTGGCAGAATTTTTAGAACAGAATTAAAAATGAAACCTAATGGCTATAACTAATATTGATGCTGATGTTAAATGTGAGTATCTTCAATGATGATCAGTGCAAAGTAAAAGTTGCATGCTATATAAAAGGAGGAATAGATGGATAGTGTAATGTAATTTATGTATTTTAGAAACATGAAATGATAAAGATCATTAAACTTCTAGTATATAAATACATGTGAGACCCCCCAGTCCTAAGTGATTATCCTAGACAATCATTTTACTGTTTAATCATCCACTGATAAGCATTCCTTTTTTTTGCTCTAATGAGTTGAATCCAAAAAATTTTTGTTCTGTTCTGTTACTATCTTAAACTGTTGTTCAGCAAGCCTTACATTTTCTGTTAATAAAGTAACCCATTTCCTGTAACATTAGCATATGACCAGTGTTAAGAAAAGTGAATACATCGGAAACATTTGAGCTTTGGTGGTGAAGAAATATATTTAAAAGAAAAGACTTTTCCATAGATGTTCTCACAAAGGGCCACACTTCTCCTATTGCAGCCTTTCTGAAACTGGGTTCTGGGAGTGAATGAAGCCTTCTAGAAAACAATTTGAATGATTTCTTTCTTAATTTTCTTAAGGATAATACATAGCTAGTATCTTTCTGAATTGTTAAGCTAACTCATGCTATCTGTGCTGCAGTCTTCACAGGAGGTATCATTACAACAGGGAGCTGTTAGCTATAGATGTGTCTTGATGGAGCTGAGCAGATAAGTTCCTGCCCCCAAATGAGAGGGAAAGCAGTTGTGTTGCTCAGCCATGGAAAGTTACTAGATGGAGGTATTCAATGGTATAGTGGCAGTCTTTTCGCATTCACCTTGAATGCGTTTCAAAGGAATTGAAGTATACTCTATTTGTATTGCATTCCCTTAGTTTGATTATTGTTGTTTATATTCTATAAGGCAATTTTGTGGGGAGGGATGCCTTCTGGAAGAATTGTTTGACAATTAACATATTAAGCCAACCGTTTAAGACTTATAAAATTATTTTGGAACTTGTTTCTGTTTTGTAGGAGCCAATTCTCTCCTTCTACCATGTGGGTTCCAGGAATTGAACTCAGGTTATCAGGCTTGACAGCAAGTGCCTTTACTCACTGAGCTATCTTGTTGACCCCAAAGATACACTTTAAAGTAAAATTTCTAGGCCAATGGCTATAACCTTTTTTAAAGTGAGCAACATTGCCATATTTCTCTCCAGAAATATGTTTTGGAGGCTGTTTTGGAAGCACTTGATCAGCACAAAAAAAGAATTGTAGATACAGTAATCTCTGTTCCCATGAAAATAGTACAAAGGAATAGACCAAAATATGTAGAAGTTACAAAGATATTCTTTCATGCTGCTGTGGAAACAAATATTAGGAGCAGGTTTTGAAAGTCCAGTTTGTGTTTTTATTTTTGTCATACAGGAATAAAAAAAATCAGGGCCTTTTGCATGCCTTTTGTATGCTAGGCAAGTGCCCTGTTACTGAACTTTATCACCAGCCTCTAGAAGCAACTTTTAAAGTCTAGCAATGGCCAAATGGTTAAATAAATTATGCCTCTAATTGTAGGTGGAAGTTTCTGTCCCTACCAGTCCCACAGCAATTTAGTACCAAATAAACACATAGAGGCTTATATTAATTGTTAACTGTTTGGCCAATGGCTCAGGCTTTTTATTGGGTAGTTCTCTCTTAGTTATTAATCTATTTCTATTAATCTGTGTATCTCCACATGGTCTTGACTTACTGGTGAAGCCGGGGTTTGTTGCTTCCTTGGCAGCTACATTGTGTCTCACTCAAGATTCACTCTCTGTGTTCCTCTTCCCAGAATTCTCCTAGTCTCATAGCCCAGCCTATACTTCCTACCTGGCTACATCCTGCCTGTCCATTGGCCAAAACAGCTTTATTCATCAATCAATAAGAGAAACATATTTTCATAGCATACAGAAGGACATCCCTCATCAGCTAATACCATTTTAAATTCTTAAATATCTTGGTTTTGTAATTCATGTTTCATTGTTCATTGAAGAAGCAGAGTTCAAAACCATGGGCTGGTATATAGCACAGTTGATAGACTTTTTGCTTAGTACATGTGAAGTGCTGGGTTCTATCCCTAGTACAGCATTAAAACTAGACATGGCAATGTGCAGGCAGAACACTGTATATATAATAAATAATTTTTTTTAAAAAAATTGGGCATGGTGGTTCACACCTGTATTCCCAGCATTTGGCTGGTGAAGGCAGAAAGATAAGTAAGTCAAGGTCATCCTCATCTACACAGCGAGTTCAAAACCAGCCTAGAGTACTTACTGAGCTATGACTCATAATGAATTCAAAACATTATGCATGTAACAAAAGAAAATAAATGCAGAAGGTTAATAAGATACATCTGTTAAGGCAGTAGATGATGGGGGTGATTTTCCCTTGAGCCATATGTTGCATTAATATTAGGATGTTTGAAATGTATTCATGTAAATATTTATGTACAGGATGGAATGTGCCCTGATATGGAAAAAGATGAGGCAAGATTTTTAACCCAGAGACCAGCATTTGCCCAAAACAGAAGACACAAGCCCATCATATTTTCCATATGTTGTTCATTTTAGTGATTAAAGACTAAAATCATGATTAGTGTAAAACTGGAATTTATACTAATCCAAAAAGAGCAACCCCAGGAGGCAAAGCATACATATTATATTTCATTCAATATTTTGAAAAAAATTATCAAAGAGGATGAAGGTTGCTGTAAAGAAGTATGTTTTCCCTCCTGTAAAATGTATTTTAATGTTATATAGCATAATCATATCATGCTTGTAGGTGGAGTTTTTCTGTCCTGCCAGTTAGTTCTGTCCCACCAGCCAGTTCCCCAAATAACCACACAGAGACTTATTATTATAGCTGTTCAACCAATAGTTTAGGCTTGTTATGAGCTAGCTCTTACAACTTAAATAAACCTATTTCTAGTCCTTTACTTGCTGCCGCATAGCTCATGGCTTGTTACCTCATTTTGTACACATCTTGCTTCCTCTGTGTCTGGCTGGCAACTTCTGAGACTCCACCCTTCTTCCCAGTGTCCTAATCTGGCTCTTCCACCCAATCTCTTTCTGCCAGTCAGCGCTTTATTAACCAACAAGAGTAATACATATTTATAGTGTACAAAGATTGTTCCACAGCACACACTTACAATGCTGTAACTTTTGTGTAAAATTATTGTGCTATTAAAGGCCATTTCACATTTATCAAAACAATATATACTCTTTTAGTTCCAAAGTGATCTGGTTACTTTGAGCATTTAAACACAAATGGGTAAAATTTCAATTCAGATTGAATGTTAAAAATTTCTTAATGCTGTTACTAGAAATTGATGTTGTGATTTAATAAAATAGGTACTAATTAGGAAATTATACTTTGGTCTTATGTTATTTAACAGTTTAACCTGGGAAATATAAAATAACTTGTAATACATGATATAGGTAACATACTTTTTAAAGCCCTGAACCAGCAAATAATTGTAAGCTTGAGGTGAATTCATCATGTTCTTAGTAATGTGTTTTTCTTCCTCTTCTTTGACATGACTTGTATAATGTCTTTGAGTCTGTACTTTTTTTTTTTTTTGGTTTTTCAAGACAGGGTTTCTCTGTGTAGCCCTGGCTGTCCTGGAACTGTAGACCTGGGGTCTATTTCCTGGGGTGACTGTTATAAAAGAAGCTCTTTTTAGACCAGGTTTGGAACTTGAATTCAAAACAGTGAGTGTTCATTTTAATTGCTTGGCTTGGCTTGGTTCAGAGTGACTGTTTCTTAAGTTGAGAGTAGAGAGGATCCAGCTAGGTATGTCCAAATTATTCCAGAGTGGAACCTAATTCCTTGGAAAGACTTTTGAGCCCATTTGCCTAAAGAAGTCTGTTTTAATTAGTGAATACATATTAGGCATTTGACCCATTTGGCATTTTAAAAGTTGGAAAAAAATCTTCCATTTTCCCTTCATTTTCCCATAAGAGGAACCACATGCACTAGGGTTGAACATTGAGTAATGTTCTTTATATTAAGCAACAGGTGGATCCCTGATCCTAACCAGGATCCATTAGCTGAGCCTACTTGAAGAGTCCCAGGCCAGTGAGAAACTGTCTCAAAACAAGGTATATGGTGTCTGAGGAACAGCATGTGAGGCTGTCTGCTGCCCTCTACATGCAGCCACGCACAAGTATGCACACACACACACACACACACACACACACACACACACACACGGGTGGGGTGAGGGATGTGGGTATATCTGTTTTGAGGATGAAGATGCTGGATACAGCTTTTAAATACAGGCCTTTACAATGGCCTGCTCTTGAAAGCTATACTTCCTTGCTAACTGTATATACTGCAGGATTTTTTGTAGCCTTTTGTAATTCACATACAAATAGTTGGGGGTCTCTTTCTTTTTCTTATTTTGTCATTAAAGTTCTATACTAGAAAATGCTTCCATTTTTTGTTGTCGATACAGGTTGTCACTGTGTAGTCCTAGAACCGTAGCTCCTCCTGCCTTAGCCTCTCAAATGTTGAGGTTACAGGTGTGTGCTGTCATCCAGATTTGGATAATATTTAAAAAGTAAAAGTTGCTACTAAAATTGAGAGCAGTCTTGTCCTTTTGTAGCTCAATAGTGGCATACCAACCAGCTGGAGACAACAGCCATACCTTTGATGTCACGGCCATGTTCAAATCTATTGGAATCTTCCTTGGGATCTTCAGTGGATCTTTTGCAATGGGTGCTGCTACAGGAGTCATGACAGCTTTAATATCCTTTTATTATATTACTTTTTTCTTTTTAACTTATTGAGGTAGCATAATGAGGCATGGTTTTTCCTAGTTCCATAACTAGAATTGCTTTTATATTTACTAATCTTTTAACAAAGAAGTTTTTATGAAAACATGAAGCAAAAGTCTTTGTAAATATGTCACTTAACAAATTCCATTGTTTTGCATAGGCTCAGTGCCTTAAAATGTGTGTGGGGAGCAGGGTCTCATGTGTTTAATGCTGGCCTTGAATCTGCTATGGAGCTGAGGATGCCTGGGAAGTTTTGATCCTCCTGTCTCTTCCTCCCAAGTTCAAGGAATATAGGCATACACTACCATACCCAGTTTATGCAGTGTTTATGCTTAAAGCCAGAGCTTTGTGCATGCCAGGCAAGCCTTCTACCAACTGAACTGTATCCCCACACCTCACCCCTCCTTTTGTTTTTAATTTACTTTTACATATATGCCTGTTTTACCTGTATGTATTTCTGTGCACTATGTGCATGCATGATGCCTGCAGAGGCCAGAAGACAATGCTGGATGCCTTAGAACTGGAGCCACTACAGATGTGGGTGCTTGGAGCTGAATCCAGATCCTCTGCAAGAGCGGACAGTGTTGTTAACCACTTAGCCATCTCTGTAGCCCCTATTACTATTTTTGAGACTGGATCATATTATGGTAGTCCAGGCTGCCCTCAAATTCATGATCTTTCTGCTTTAGCCTACTGACTGCTACAAGTGTTGTTATGTACCACAATGCTAAACTGCCCCTAAGCTGTCACTGTCAGAGTCTTTGACTAGATACAACTATCCATGAGAGGATCAATTTTAAAGTTATAGATTAAATTGGTGTGAAGTAAGTAGACTCCCCAAAGTCTATGGGTAATTTGTGCTGCTGGTCATCTTTGTCACGTTTCTCTCCTTGCTTAATAGAAAAAACTGAAAATGTGTGATTCCTGTGTGAGCACATATACATGTTCATCCTGTCTTTCTCCATTACAACTTTTGTTCACCTGGCTTGGGAGCAAAAAAGGACCTGAGTTGTAGTCCTGATACTGTCAGTAGCTAGCCATGGGAAATACAGGGCAAATGATTTGTATATTCATTCAGGAGACATTGTAGCACCCAATCAAAGATAAGACAAGCATGGCCCCTCCCTTACAGACACAAATATGATAGAGGTTTTGATATTTGAACGTTGGATCTCAATATACGATAGTGGAAGGCTGGGAAAATTGAGTAGGACTGGATAAGCCCCAAAGTTTCTGTTATGCTTATGAGTATGTGTGAGTGTATGACATATCTGTGCAGGTGTCCACAGAAGCCAGCAGAGGATGTTGAATCCCCTAGAGCTGAGTTCCAGGTGGTTGTAAGCCACCCTCACAACCCAACTGAGGTCCTTTGGAAGAACATCAAGTGTTGTTAACCACTGAGCCATCCCTCTAGCTTCATCCAGGTATAAATTTTTGTTGTTGTTGTTTTTTGAGACAGGGTTTCTCTGTGGCTTTGGAGACTGTCCTGGAACTAGCTCTGTAGACCACGCTGGTCTTGAACTCACAGAGATTCTCCTGCCTCTGCCTCCCGAGTGCTGGGACTAAAGGAGTGTGCTACCCCTGCCTGGCTCAGGTAGAAATCTTTTAAAACACTTTCATGTAAAATACATGTGTGATTCTCTTTCAATACTCTCGGTTTTATGCTGGAAGAGAGTACATTCATGGCCTTTTTGGGGGGTTGTTTTTTCAGACAGGGTTTCTCTCTGTTAACAGCTCTGGTTGTCCTGGAACTTGCTTTGTAGACCAGGCTGCCTTCGAACTCATAGAGATCCTCTGGCCTCTGCCTCCCAAATGCTGGGATTAAAGGCATGTGCTACCATGTCCATCTATCATCCATGGCTTTTTAACTGAAGAGCAGTAAAGGGATTTTTGAAGGGAGCCAGTACAGGCTGTATCTCCTCTCTGGTATAAGATCCTCGGGGTTAGGAAGTGTAACTTATTTATTAATTTTATTAAGGAGCTAGTTCATGAACTGACTCTAGATTCTAGCCCTGGATTTGTCACAACTTGGCACAGGTTCTTCCACTGTCACTTGACATATACTTTTTTAGATTACTATAAAGGAGTAAAGTACCTCAGTTTCTTATTCGTGGGATGGATGCTTTATATCGCAAATGAGTTAGAAGATCAAAAAATGTGAAACTCCATGGAAACTACATGTTTCTATGAATGCAAATTGTAAACATGGAAAGTGTCTTGTTTTGGGCCACAGGTTAATAGAGTTTTGGCATGGTTGTGCCTTATCTGTCTGTCTTTTATTGTGTGTTTTCTGGCAGAGTATATCATACGCATAAATCAGTAGGAACATCTAATTTGTGAGATTTTCTCACTGATAGAGCAGCTCCATAAGATCTCATTCTAAGAATTTACCATTTTACTTTGTGTCTTTTATGCTAGAGAGGCTCAAGAGACCTTCCCTAACTTTCATGACTACCTTGAATTGACTATTATTTTCCTAGTCATATTTGTGTGTTATTATGAGATCTTGTTACCAAGCTTAACAGTCTTACGTGACAAAGTTCACCAAGTTGCGGGAGTTCCAGTTGCTGGAGACAGGTCTGTTCTTCTTGATGTCCTGGAGTACCTTCCTTTTGGCCGAAGCTTGGGGTTTCACAGGTAGGTGACTTTCTTTGCATTGTAAGCCCCAGTGAGGAGTGACTTTCTTTCCCAAGTGAACCAACTCTTTTAGTGTTTAAACATCCTTGTTATGGTTGGGAGTTGGGATGGAGATTTGAATGCAAAAAAAAAAAGGCTTTCTTTTTTTTAAGGATTTATTATTTATTTATTTATTTGTTTATTTGTTTATTTATTTATTTATGTGTATGAGTTCTCTATCTGCGTGTATGACTTTATGCCAGAAGAGGGCATCAGATCCAATTATAGATGGTTGTAAGCCATCATGTGGTTGCCAGGAATTGAACTCAGGACCTCTGGAAGAGCACTCAGTGCTCTTAATGTCTGTGCCATCTCTCCAGCCCATAAAAAGTATTTTTCATGCAAGTAATTGGTTCCTCCCAACGAAATAAGTCAAAGTAAATGAAATGTTAACATCATGTGTAGAATCTACTTCTGTAAAATAAGAGACTTGGTGTAAAACTTAGGATCTGTCCTTTTGTGTGAATTGGACTTTTCTGTCTTTGCAGGTGTGGTTGCAGTGTTGTTTTGTGGCATCACACAGGCACATTATACATACAATAATTTGTCCACAGAGTCTCAGCATAGAACGAAGCAGGTAAGAGAAAATTTATACTTGGTGAATAAAATTTTCCTCCTCTTCCATAACAAAAGGTTTTATTTTTCAACTTAAATATCTGTGATCATTCCAAGGTGATGTCTTCTCTTCCACTGACTCTAGAAAAAAATGGGACTGGCAGGTTGCAGGGTAGCAGCTTCTAGGGCAGCACTCGGTCAGCAGAGTAACCGGAGGGTGTTAGGATTGAACTTCCGAAAACTAGTCAGTTGGCTTCCCCTTCTCTTAGTATCTTCCTAATTTAGTGGCTGCTGAGAGGACCGATTTGAAGGCCCACTCTGACTTGATCAGAGTTTCTGTTGTGTAGCGTAAAAGAGATTGACTTCTTATCTAATTTGCTGAGCTATACAGGGACTAAGCTTCCTGCACTCTTCATTCAGGCTCTGTAATACTGCTGCTTCCAGGAGCCTCAGGGGACTGTCATTGACTGGGCACTGCATGAACAGGCTACCTGAAAAGAATTCTGAAGGAATTAGGCATATCATTTTCCCGTCTTAGGAGATATTTAAGAGCAATTAATAAACAAAATGTAATGTCTACAATAGGGCATACTTGATAACTGTAGTGAGAACCAGGAACTTCCAGTTTTGCAGAAGGCTAGAAAAGGTGAGTTGTGTCTAGAAAGGACCAATGCTAAAGCAAAATAGCAATCTCTCTCTCTCTCTCTCTCTCTCTCTCTCTCTCTCTCTTTCCCTTCCCACTCCCCCTCCCTCTTCCTTTCCCTCTCTGTCATGGAGCTACAAAGGTAGTGTATATCCAATGCTTTCCCTAATACTGGAAAAGAAATTAGGCTTCCCTCTGAAGCATTTGCATGGAGGTTATAAATCTCATTTGCCAACTGGGTGGTGGTGGCGCACGCCTTTAATCCCAGCACTCAGGAGGCAGAGGCAGGCGGATCTCTGTGAGTTTGAGACCAGCCTGGTCTACAAGAGCTAGTTCCAGGACAGCCTCCAAAGCCACAGAGAAACCCTGTCTCGAAAAACCAAAAAAAAAAAAAAATCCCATTTGCCAAATAATTTAGTTCACTAAACATACAGAAGCTAAACAGCCTGGGGGTTGGTCTTTTTTAGGTGGCAAGGTAGGGCATAACAACAGCAAGCTAAGAGCTTCCAGCCTTGTTGGTGATGTGAAACTTGCATACAGAAAATATATATAGCCAGTAGAAATCATAGTGTGCAGACTTGGGATTATCTGTTGTACAAACATCTGGGGATAGAGTCAACAGTTTGAGGCTTGAGGGGCTGGATGTTACCATAGTAGAAATGGTGCATCTAAAGGATGGGGGAGGATTTGGAATGGCCTAGTGGAAACAGACACAATCCTTAGGTTAAGTTTGTCCTTAGATATTTTGTGAACTAGAACATTCTTATAATTTGAAAAGATTAGGAAAAGCTAGGAGAATATTTTTTAAATCATGAAAGCTATATGGAACTTAATTTTAGTGTCTATTACTAAAATTTTCTCAAGCCAGAGCCACACCCATCTTTTAATGTGTATATAGCCTATGCAGCTTTTGTACTAACGTGGCCAAGATGGGCTTTAATAGACACCTTGTGCCTGCAAAGCCCCAAATATTTACTCTTTGGCACTTCATGGGGTTTGCCAGCTTCTGTGTTCAGAATTAGATCTGAGACTCTGGATCCACTGTGCCTCTGAACACTGACTCTACTGTTTTCTGGCAAATAGGAGTAAGAATGTATTAAGTTATTCATAGAAAAATATATGCCTATTTTAATGTTTGTTATTATTTTTGGTAATAAGCCAACTCTGCTTTTTTGTGCAGTTTTGGGGATTGAACCTGGGGCCTCTTATTTGGTGGGCAAGTGCTCTACTACTGAGCTATATCCCAGACCTCCAAACTCTGCTTTAAAAAACATTTCTAACTCTGTTTTGAAAAGAGTAAGTAAGCCAGGTGTGTGGTATGTACCGATAATAAAAACACTTGGGGACTGGGGAAATGGCTCAGTAGGGAAATGTGCTTGCTGTGCAAGTGTGGGGGCCTGAGTTCAAATTGCCAGAATGCATGGGAAGGTTGGATACATAACAAAAATGTCTGTAATTCTAATAATCCTAAATGAAGATGAGAAGTATAGACAAGAAAATCCCCAGAAGCTTGACAGTCAGCTAGCCTGCTATCCATAGCAAAAATCATCAACAGAGAGAACCTTTCTCACACAAGATGGAAGGCAAGAACTAACACCTGAGATTGAAAGCTGAACTTCAGATACAGTGTGTGACACGTGTGCCGACATTCATATGCACCACCCTGCACATACACACAAACACAGATACTTAAGACATGGAAGCAGGATAATCCGGAATTTAAGGTCACCCTGAGCTACATAGTAAAACTCTGTCCCAAGACTCCCCTCTAAGCAATAACAAAAAATGAGAACGCCAACAAATTTGCCCAAAGCCATAGAGCTAGCAAGTAGGGAAGGTGTGGTTTGAGCCTAGGCATTTAGACTCCAGAGCTCAGATTCATTGTCTTTCCTATTGTTGTGAGGCAGGTGACTCCTGGGAAAGGTCAAGGAAAAGTAGAGCTTATGGAAGGCCCTCACTTTATTGGAAACTTCTTTACACCTGCAATAGAAACAGTGCTGTGAATGGGTGGACCTTGACAGGCATCAGGGGAGGCTGCTGAATTCATGTTATCATAGAGAGGTCCTGATTTTAGGAGTCTTAGTCCATAAAATGAGAAGCTAAGACCTAGCCAAAAAAGAGTGACAGCACTCTAGTGATATGACAGTGGTCACACAAGATCCTCTGTGTTTGGTAGCTTATAGAGGAAAGTATCTTGAAACTCATTTTAAGTGAGCTTTACTGGGTGGGGATGAGAAATGGGCATGAAGAGCTTGCCACTTAGGTTTCAGAATCATGTACAGAAAGTGATCAAAGCTAGGCTAGGGCATTCAAAGAGAATCATTGTGTTTGGAGGAGGAGAAGTAAGCAATGATGAGGACTGTGAGAAGGGAGCTGATGGGGAAATGTGAGGGCACACCATTTCTGGCTCTTTCTGTGGGTTTGCAAATACCATCACTACATGCGCTCCCCTCTGAGTCACATGTTTTCAGGTGTGTATATGAGCTTTACATATTTAAAATGTGTGTTCCTCATATTTTTAGTGTGACACTTACTGGAACATCTTAAATTTCATTTCAGTTGTTTGAGCTGCTCAATTTCTTAGCGGAGAATTTCATCTTTTCCTACATGGGGCTGACGCTGTTCACCTTCCAGAACCATGTCTTCAATCCAACATTTGTAGTAGGAGCATTTGTATCCTTTATCATGTGTCTGTTTGGAAAACTATTTTAATCGAGATCTTCATGTGGCATTGATAAAATATTTAAATGTGTGATTTTTTCTGAGAACACAAGTAAGGATATCGACTGTTTCCCTAATTCCATTCTAATAATTTTTCCTGTTCTATTTCTACTTGAATTTATTGCACAAAAATGTTGACAGATTGGAATGACAGAGACTTTTACTACTCTGTTGACCTCTGAGGTAAAAATATTTGTCCTTTGCAGGGCATGGTGCCATGTAACTATAAGCCCTATGATGGTGGGGAAGATCTGAAATGTCAGGCCATCTTGACATGCCCCTGTCTCAAAATCAGATTGGAAAAAATGGAGCAGTGCAGTAGCTTGGGGGCAAGCTGCTTCCCTGGGAAAACCGTGACTTTTATCTCCAGCCCATTACAACAGAAGGCACAAAACTGTCCTCTGTTACTAAGGGAGAGAGAGAAAGCTTGACTGTGAGGAAGAGTTAGGTTCTATGCCACAGGGCAATGCATCAAAGATGAGGAAGGTTGAGTAAGGCCACATTCTTTCCCATATTCTTCTCTGTTTCATATAAATTGAGCACTTTTACCTTCAGAGCCAAATGGAGGG